AGGAGTCTATGTAACTAGTCACAGCCTGATTGACAAGCAATGAGCAATGACTTTGGCCCTTCAGGATTTGAGAGACTATGGGACTGTTTGATGTTACACAGAGCCCAGAAGCCACAAGAGAGAAGGCTGGATGGTGTGGGGTTCACACCAACAATGCCCACCAGGCAGTCACATCTCTTTGAAGGATTTTAGTTGATTTTATTGTTGATGAAAATCAATCTTGCCATGAAATCAGAAAGGATTTACTAAAGTAGCCATCACCAAATACAGAAGATATATTATGAAACAGACTCTGTACTTGTTATTAGCACATCAAAGACAGAAAAGCTTGCCTTGAGAATTATCATGAGTTTTCAGATAAAACTCCACCCCAAACCACTTTCCTTTTAACATGTTAATCACTAGCATGCTTTGAGACCACATTCCATAATCTCTACCATTTAGGGACAATGACTAAATCTGTAAGAAATCTGTGTTTACATGTTCCTGTTTTCTCCCTGTGGGTGTGGGCTGCCACTGTGTCTCTCTGACCTCTTTCTCCAAGATAATGTTTGTTCCTCATCCTCTCCAAAGATAAGCTTGTAGAACCATTGCTTCCTCTGTTCTCCCTCACCAATCTTTGCCATCAGCATGACTAAAAATAGCAGCACTCAGTATTAAGCTACAGTAAGTTACTCTGAAGACTGCTCAGAAGCAACTGCTAGAGGTGGCACCAGCTGCATAGTTATTTCAAACCAGCTGGCCATATGGTATGTATAGGAAGGAATTAGACTTCAAAGAAGTTTCTGAACTGTCAGTTAATTTCCTGAGGTATTTCAAAACATCGCAAATATACTGTATATTTCATTTTCTGCATTTCTCTAAGAGTATCTTTTATCCTTGCAATATAAAACTTATCTTTTATTCAAGCATTCCTGGATAGTTTTAGGTAGAAGGCGAGTCATGTATCTTGGGATCTGACCCATGATCATATGGTAGGAGTTTACTACTGGTATTACCTTGGATATTACTAATTTTATTTTGCTTTGGATTTTGTTTACTTCCTTGCTTATAGAGGTATTAATTAGGTGTGTATTAAACAAAAAAGTAATGTTTCCCCATCACCGCCAAGAACAAAATAACACTAACAAAAACGTGAAATCTGTTGAGTCTTCTTATTACACTGGAGCAATTTTTACTTTATGCAGCTAATTTTATAATGATCTGGGAATAAATTTTAAAATTTAAAATTTTTTTTCTAAGGGTTAAAAGTCTTATTAGATCTATAACAATGAACCTAAATGAATTTGTCATTCTATCCCCTTATTAATCCAAATGATTAATAATACTTCATTTACTATTTTTAAGGAAAATGTTAAACAGGTCAGGGACACTGAGTAAATTACAAGCTTTGTGAAGGCTTGAGTCAGATTTAAAATTTTTTATAGAGCAAAATTTTAAATCTACTCTTCAGCACATAGAAGATGTAGAATAAATAATTTTGATTTAGTTATTTTTTCTTTGACTTGAACTACTATCCAAATATTTCCTTTTATCATGAGATAAAGATCAAGTTTAATATATACACTGGTGAGCACATTAACAGCATCTGCAACATGGGAAAAATGTACATTATCATTTCTGCGCAAAGGTAAAGCCAACAAACTTATTAAGTGATATTTTCTGAATAGTCACCTGGTTGTAGGAGCACAGAGGAGATGGCTAACCTGGACTTTTAAGTACATAAGGAGTGCCTCCTCATTACTTCCCTCGGGTGCCTTTCTTGAACAAAATGTGTGAAAATCAGATCAGGTACATGCTGATCTCCTTAAATGCCTGCTGATATCAACTTAAGATAAATATAGTTCATCTATCTTTGTACAGTCAAACCTCCTTGGGAGGCACTGACTAAAGTTTGGTTGAGGAGATAGTTTTCATTAAGGAGAGAGTTTTCATTAAGGAAATAGTTTTCATTAACATCACAAATATACTGTGTATTTCGTTTTCTACGTTTCTCTAAAAATATCTTTTATCCTTGAAATATAAAACTTACATACTAGCATGTGTGTGTGTGTATGCATGTGCACAAAGGATGTTGCAATGCCTGTTGGCATTCACATTGACATTTTAAGAAGGTAAATATTTAAACCCATATTCTATAGCTTAAGGAAAGATTGGAAGCTGGAAAATAAATTTCAGGTTCTGAAGCACATGTTATGAGATCCTGAAAGGAAGAACGAAAGAAGACAGAGACTTGCAGGTCTCAGAGAGGAGGAAGATGCAGTCACAGGGACAGATAGGAACAATGGAGAATGAATAGAGGACAAGCAGTGAATGTAAATAACTTTTCAGCAAGTTTGCTATAAAGGTGAGCTAAGAAATCAGGTGGCAGTGAATGGGGAATAAATATATTTTGCTGTAGTTACTAACCAGTTAACATAATAGCTATGCATGTGGTAATAGATAAAGGTATAGGTTTTTCCCTTGAGAACCTTCATACTTGGCATCATTTCTCTCATTTCTGTCTGTGATTGTTGGTTCTTTTTATCTAGTCTTCTACTTGATCACTGATTCAACATACTGCTCCCACCATCTTTAACCTCTTTTCCCTCCCCCCATTTTCCTTTAATCCATAAAAATTACCAATGCCTCAAAGTACAAGATGTATTCCCTTATTTACTATCTGTCTCTCTCACTCTAACAGGGGAAAAAAAACAATCATTTAAACTAGAACTATGCTCAGTAAATCCTATTTCAATTAATTCATGAATATATATATATATATGTGTATATATATATATATATATGTACCTGTTTATATGATTATGTATGTATACATTTACAAACACACATACACACTTTCAATATAGAATCAGATGGATTTTATTTACTTGTTAGAAAACAAAATTCATGTAAGATCTTCCTCTCTGTTTAGTCTCATTACAGAGAGGCAAAATAGCAGCATAGTAATCAATAATTTACCAAAGATTTATCTTTATCTTAATCAAGTGTTTACTAAGGTAGGAAAAAAATATATATGTATGTGTGTGTGTGTGTGTGTATGTGTGTATATATATATACATATATATATGCCTGGCTGTGTATCTAATACTGTTGGCAGTTAAGGCCTAATCTGAGTTTGAGAAAATGCATTTTATATTATGATATATTATTTTTATCACTACTAAATATTTTTATTTTATTTAATTTTGTAAAGAGATATGAAAACACTCAAAGTAGAGGCAAACATGATGGATCACCAAGAAAGTAATAAGAAACAGGATCCTAAGTAACAGGTAATATTAGTAAATTAAACCTATTGGAAACTTAATAGAAGGAAATTTGTTTTCTATTGGATTTCCATGCACTTGTGCTGGTATCTAACAGGCTCATAGGGAAAAGGGAATCCAATTTAAAAATTTATGAACAGCAAAAAATGTCCAAATATGTAGGGATGAAAACATATTACCTGTTTTAGAAGACAGGGAGATACTACCTGAAGATTCATATAAAAATTGGACTAGAACATTTCTCCAGCCTACAGAAGCTTACAGTTTAGTGAGATAAACAGATTATTCAGTAAAATACATTAAGCGGTGAAAAAGTATGTAACTTATTGTAGGAATTCAGGAAAATTCTGCTGGAGAGACAATGACTGATAAACATATTAAAGCATGTGTAAGGGCACAAAGCACACAGTGTGTGTGTGTGTGTGTGTGTGTGTGTGTGTATACACTCCTGAAGCATTTTGTATAAATATCAAGAACAATATTAAACAATATATAAAAGCATAGAGATTATCATGTGACTTTTTATCTCATATGCAAAGAAAATCTAAATCAATTTGGAGCAGAGGAGCAAGCTTATCTCATGACCTGATGTTTTTGTTTTCAATTACTTGTAATTATTTACCAAAGATTTATCTATTTCTTCTAAATGCAGCCTGAGAAATTATAGGTAGCATTGGCAAAAATGCATTCATTTCTGAAATTACACAGTATAGAATGACCACAGTAATAGAAATGCCCATTTTCATTTATACAGTGGACTATCAAGCCATTCTAAAATAGTACCCATGTAGGGTATCTTGCTCAAACTCTAAATACTTATCACAATAACATTTTCTGCACAGTATATTATTTACCAAGTTTGGTAGTATTTCCTACTATAAATTCCTTCACTTAAAATGTCTCATTAATAGTTTGAAGAAGGATCTCCTAAATAGTTTTTAAGTATTCCTGTAGTCAGACATGTGTTTGAACATTTCATTTTTCATAATAACATATCAAACCATAAAATTAGAATATCATCAAATGATATTACTATACCAATCCACTACTTCCCAACAAATTTTCAAAGATACTTTATAATAAATTTCTACAAATAGTAATTTCTCCCAAACACAATTTTCACACACAGAAATTGCTATCACTTTATAAAATAGGAAATGATGTAGTTCAGATGTGAAATAAATGATTTCAAACATTAAACTGGATATATTTCTTGGCTTATTATTATTTTGGGGGTGAGGTGTTTAATATCACCGAAACATTTCAAGAAATAACCAGGATTCTCTTAGATTTGCAGATAAGTATTTGAAATTGCTTCAGGTAAGAGGATCAAAGTGAAATAGAGCAGCAAGATAAAATGAGAGAAAGATACAATGGGTGTGATTAGGTGATATGATTGAAGAAAGAAAAGAGATCCAGCTAGGGAATTAAAGGAAATGAACACAGACATAGAAATATTCTATAGAGGATGTAAAATGTGAAAAGATTTGATAGCAGCCTACACAACATAATAAAGGGGATGAAAATGCAGAATATATGTTTTGTAAAGAGGGGAGGTGATGATTGATTTTTATGAAAATAAAAGAGACATCAGATCATGCAACTGAGTGATTCCAGAAGAGAAAAATCATAGCGAATGTTGGAAAGGCACTTCAGATGAGCTTATAAATATGATCATCCGTGTAACAGGTAACTCCTGCATGTGTTAAACATTAAAGTCAAGATCAGTACCTTTGCTTTATCTCTCATCGATCCTTTGCCCAGGATAGACATTTTAGCACCTGTTTCTTCTTGTAGCCTCTTCAAGGAGTTTCCTCTTGGTCCAAGCAATTTCCCCACAAAATTGAACTAGGAAACAAAATCAATAGAATGTCTGTTTTAGGGTAGAGTAAAAGGATGATTTGCACCAAGAATAACTGAAGGGTTACATGTTTTTCAAACTTTATAATTGGGAAGAGTTAGGCCATCCAGAGATGTAAAACTTTTTCAGACTCCTAAGACCCACTTAAAAAGGGATACCTATTCCTAGAGAAATGCCAATATCAATACTACATTAAACAGTATACTTACCCAATGGAATAATTACATCACAATTTATGGAAAGAAATTTAGATGTAAAATTCTAAAGGAAGATTTTTCTCTCCAATTACATTATCAACTAAAATATTTTAACCTAAGACCATGCACTTTCAAAATTGCAAAAGTTAATATTTAAAATTTATTTGTAAAATAAATTGGAAAGTTTATATTGTTAAACTTTGTTAATGTCAATAATATTATATAACAAATGTCATGACTGGGAAGAAAAGCACTCAATTTTTCTTCAATCTTATATTCTCTGTTTTAGAGTTGCTCTTAGGATCAGCAAATAAAAGATGTGAATATATAAATTTAAAAAGAGTAAAGTAGAATACACACACACACACATACACACACACACATTTGTATAAGTGAAAAATTGTGGGACAATTTGCTTATTCTTCCTAAAACGTGGATAAAACAGGCACATTAAGAGCAATTCTCACTTTGCATCTCAACTACTTAAAAAATTATCAATTCAAATGTCCCAGATTGCCATACATGCTATAATTAATTAATTTAAAACACAAGTAGATTAAAATGCACAGGAAAGTAAGTTTGAGCATAAAGAAGAAACATAAATAGAATTAAGTGATTGTTAAGTCAGCATATTTCCATTTCTTAAAGCCATGATTCCCAGAAAGAAATTTGTCATATAAAATAATTTCCTGAGACCTGGGGTTTGGAGAAACAATGGGAAGGGGAGCATAGGAAATAGCTGCTAACAGACAGAATTTCTCTTTTAGATAAGATGAAGTTATTTTAAAATTGATCCTGGTGCACTTTGTCAATGAATTTTGCACAACTTTATGAATGAATTAAAAAACAATGGATTATATATTTTGGTGGGTACATATATGGTATGTGGATTATATTACAGTAAAGAGATATTTAAATATATATCATTAAAATATTTTAAAAACAAATACATCCTATCGTAAAAAGTGAAATCCTACCTAAGCTCATGTTAAAAAGAAGGATATTTACTCTTAACACATTGATTCAATATTGCACAGGAGTTTTATTTGTTGTATGTGTACATAAACAGATAAATAGTATAGTTTAATACCCAGAAAAATTAACCATAGATTATCAATTTTCAACAAACAAGGCAAAGGAAGAAAAATTGAAATGTCAACAAATGGTGCTAAAAAATTATATATGTATATGAAAAAGAGAAGAAAAGAAAGAAAGAGACAGAAAACAAAATTAGAAAAAACAACCATGGAAATATCTTTTATACCTTACTTTACATTTAGGCAAATAGGCAAATCTTACCTTAAGATTTTTTTTGGGGGAAAGGGGCAGTATTGGGGATTGAACCCAGGGGTGCTTTACTGCTGAGCTAAATTCCCTGCAACACTCCTTTTTAATTTTCAAACAGGAGTCTCACTAAGTTGCTGAGGATGTCCTCAAACCTGTGAACCTCCTCCTTCAACCTCCAGAGTCACAGTGATTAATAACTGGACCCCTGCATCTTGTAATTATTTTCAGCTTGACCATAGATCTAAATGTAAAAGCTAAAATGATAAAGATTCTAGGAAGAAAGCATGAAGAAATACTTATTGTAAACTTAAATTAGGGAAATATTACTTAATTGGTAAGCAAAAACACATATACACAAACATACACACAAACACAAACACAAACCTGCTATTCCAGAAATCCATTAAAAATTGAATACAGAAGTCATAGATGGGGGGAGTAATATTCCCCTTAAATGCATCTAATAAATTACTAGTACAGAAAAAATCTGTAATAAATTCCAACAATCAATAAAAACGCACATACATACGATCCATACTGTCTGAAATTAAAACAAGACTATAGCCAAATGATGACAGAAATGTGGAATTATGGGAAGAATCACTGTTACAAGATACAAGTACCTTGGAAATAAATTGGGCAGTTATTCATGGAGTTAAATGTAAAGGTCCATTATTACCCAGGAATTCTACTTTTCAGTATTTATCCAAGATATATAAATATGTTTACAAAATAACATGTACAAGAATGTTGATGAAATTTTATTCACAACCAAAACTAAACCAGAAATACACAAATGTTCATCTTAGGTGAACTAAGGAATTTATACATAACTAGAAAAGAAATTAGTCCCTGGATGACATGACATGTATGTATCTCACACATACTTGAGAGAAAAATAAAAAGCAGATTCAAGAGTATATCATGTTAGATAATATTATGCAAAATTTTAGTGGCAAGAGTAATATAAGCTATTAAAATTCACAACAGTGGTTGCCTCTTGAGAATAGAAGGCTGGAGTGGAACTGGCTTGAGAGCATCATGAGAACCCATGCGGGGGAAAGGAATTGTTTTGTTTTGTTGGAGATGTAAGTTACACTTTCCCTAAAACTCATCAAGTTGCACTCTTAAGATTTGTGTAATTCCTCACATATAAATAGTATTTCAATTAAAAGTAGAGAAAAGGGAATTAGGAGGCTGACAAGCCACATAAATACTTTAAAAACTAAGATCCTGGTGAAATGTACTACCAGAAAATACCAGTCCCACAAGCTGTACAGAGGAATCTGGTGAGGTTTATAGAAAATATATTATTCTTAACTATGTGGACTATTTCTGAAAAATAAATGGGAAATATTCCCTAACTCATTTTAGCAGGCGAGTATAACCCTGATACCAAACAAAACTAAATCAGAAAAGGAAATTTATAAGCTAAAGCCACTCATAAAACACAGTGAAAACATCCACGTCAACAAAATCGAAGTATAACTGAGATTTTTTGGACATCCAAAGAATACATCACAACTGAAATATGTTTATCATAGATACCCCAAATAGTTTAGGATTTATAACCACTAATTGTAATTTGCTCATTAAAAATATAATGTAGAAAAAGTGCAAATTACGTTTTTAGAGAAAAATAATTTGATAAAAATTCAAATTTAATCATAGAAACATCATCTGAACAAAAAATAAAACTTCCTCAACTTACATAAGATTTTTACTCAATATGAAAAAAATTAGTGGGATATAATGGTAAAACAATATTGGAACAAAGGTATAAGTACATTCTTGGTATCTTATGCAAGCTCAAAGATAAAAGCAATTGAAGAAGGCAAACTTAGAAAAATCAAAAAGAAAAATATAGTTTATACAATTATATATATATACACACACACACACACAGAGACAGAAAGCTTATTTTCAAGGATTTTATTAGTAAGAAAGCTTAGTAAGTTTTCTTACAAAAATCAATATAAAAATCAATTATATATTTGCATTCCAGTATCATATAATTAGACAATAGTTTTCAAAAGAGACATTATTTATAATAGCAACAAAAGTAACCCCCAGATATTCTAGGAACAAATTTGTGTATGTTCAAATCCTTTGAAAAACATGTGAAATACACTCCTAAAGACATCGTATACATACAATTTTAGAAAGATCATGTTTATAAGATACTAAATTCATGATTGTTACAGCAGCGATAAGAAATTAATATGCTAAGAAAGGAAGATCTACCGAATGCATAATCTGACTATATATGATAAAAAAAATCACTTGATCACAAAAATCTAAATTCTGGTACATTCTTCATCACTGAAATAGAAATAGGGAAAGTACAACTTCATTAGAAATTAGACAAAAATCAAACCAAAGATCATCTTAGACACAGTTTGATGATAAAAATGAAGACAGATACAAAGCATTGGTCAGAATGTGACTCCATGGGTATTTACACACTCTACTTCTTGGAATATAAATGGATACAACAATTTTGGCATTATTTGGTAAATTTGTAAATGCATTTAACCTATATCTCAGCAATGGGGGGAAATGACAATCAGCTCAAGAATAGTGCTCTGTAAACCTGAAAGCATGATCAATATTGCTGACTATGTGTCCCAACTGTTTCCCAAATCCATTTCCATGTACACTTCCCTTTATTTTGGACTTTGTCAGTGTTAAAAAGTTGTATGTGATTTGGAAGGTGAACATGAATCGGTGCCCACTATTATTGACAAGTCCTGAATAAATCAGACAGGAGCTCCAATGACATGGAGGCAGAAGCCTCAGAGACCTGTCCACAAGCTCCCAGTTCAAGAACTCTGCAATCTTTCAGACTTTACCCAAATTCCTGCTTTGTGTTCATGATCAGCTTCAAAAAGTTTTGTGGTGCTCTGTCTAGTTTTCTATCCTGAGATCTCACCTCTGTACTGCCTATTAATGACAACTTTCCTGAGGTCCCTTCTCTCATCTCTTCCACCTGTTATATTGTCACTGAATTATAACTTGTAACCATTATATAGAGAGAATGGCTTCTGTATAGCTGTCAGAATCCTGACTTGTACAGATGGCTAAGTTAAGTAGATAATTAAATACCAATAAATTTGAATTATCCATGCTATATGAGATATCATTAATAAATACAAGAAATAAAGTTTTGAGTGAAAAATTCAATCTTTAGATGTATGCCACTGTTTGTGTAAAACTCAAAATAAATGAAATTAAACACCATGAATACGTGAATTTGTACTATCTTTATTCTCCAAATAACAGGGATAGTAAACACAAAATTCAGGATCTTATTAATCCTGAGAATGGGAAGTAGGAGATGTTGTCCAAGGGAAACACAGGTAATAGTAAAAAAAAAAAAAAAATAGGTATTGTTTTAGACTTTAACTTATGGGTTCAAGGATACTCATTTATTTTCTTTTACATTCTATATGAAAGTTACACATATTCTCTTGAATGTAATAAATATTTCATAATGGTTATAA